CATTTGAAATTGAATATAAAAAAAGAAAGAATCAACGATAAATAAAACAAGTTTCGACGCCCACTCAAATGTGGATCTTGCCAATTGAAAACTGCGTAAATGCCTACGCAATGATCATGTGACGAAAAATTAAATCTTAATGAATTACTCCATGTCTATTGATATTTGAAATTCAGCTGCCTGCCAAGTGTGGATTTAACTAAATTAGGAAGGAATGCTTGAAATAAATTGCTCTAGGCCAATATTTATTCTGTTGAATATGTAGAAGATAGTTAATAAATCAAAAAAATCTATGAACCCAATGCCATTTTTTGCGAGCCTCCGATGTTATATGTACGTGGTGTTGTTATCAAGATAACTATGGTTGGATTTTTCCAGACAATGACGTGGTCGATCAAGATGATATCGATATGAACATCGTCTCGTTCACATCACAACTCTGCGGCTCGACGACAATTTGGTTAGTTCGATTTTTTTTTTTGAGTCTCTCGTTTCGATTTCGTGATTTATGACAACTACACCAAGGTATTTATAACACGAATCCACCCGCGCAAGTTACAGTTTAACTATACTCAAAATAATTGAACTGGGCATAGAAAAAATGAATGAAATTCGCACCATTTAAACATTGGTCTTGGTAATCCGTTTGAACCGGAATCAATTTGTGCTGCGATTGTTTTTTTTTTCACGTTGCAACGAGAGATTTCCTTAGATAGTATGCCCCATCAAATATTAGGATCGAATTCGTGGAATTCAATAATATTTAAAGTTGAAAGCGCGGATGAGAATTAAAATAAAACAGATGACAGAATTTGGAAATCACATTAGGTCGTCCGAATTATACCGTAGCATTTCATTTCTTGGATACATCCTTTCTGATAGAGGTTACCAGGTTTCGAGGGCAATCGAATTCAACGCTTTCGATTTCATCGCCAGCGTTCTATTCTACACATTTCCATAATAAGAGTCTTTTTTGTATGATGTACGCCTAATTTCCGGTTAACCTTCTCCTTCTTCTTTGAATATTCTATTAACATAAGTCGGTTCTTTCGGATTAGCATCAACTTGCATATCCCTCCACTCATTTTCTATCGACACGCACAGTAAAAAAAACGGCAAAATGCTGAAGATTCAACTGAGTTATTCGAGGCGACCAAAATACATTTTGAAGGCGAATCGAGTCATCAGCACTAGCATCAGGTAACTCCCCCAATTTCACATTTTACACCCCCCCCCCCTCACAAAAAGTGGTGCGGTACAAATATTTGAATGCGAGCCTCATTGTTGTATATTCTTTCTCACATATGTGCGCGTTGTTTATCGGTCGTTACTTTTATCCGAAAAGAGGTCGGCCAATATTCCCATAGTAAAAACCGTTAGCGAAACGTAAATATTATTCAAATCGGTGAGCAATGCGCGTTGACCCGCAACCATCAATTTTTCTCTTTCTTCGATGTTGACCGCGTTTTACTGTAGAAACCATTCGGGTCACGTGGTCACGTCACTTTGCCGAACTTTCGATGCAAAACCCTCACAAACAATTCTCAAGGGCTTGCTTACAAATCATATAGACAAACGCTCAGATTTCCATGTCTCGCCATAACATACTAATGACCCGAATTAGCTGTCGTCATGTTTTCTGCAAAATGAATCTTGAATCTCCAAAAATGGAAATGATGCCCTTGCTTCTCGTATGACGTATACCAACTTTCGAATAATTTGACATAAAACCTTTTGGTGACATAAACTTTTTATTAAACCTTTGAGCATATATTGTTTAGAGTTTTGATTTTGTGCCAACAGAACGTTTTGTTAACCTGGCGAGAGCCTATTTGTTTAAGATTCTATTTTGGTGCGTATCATTGTTTGACAAAGCGAAAATGGGATAGTATTATTATTATAAAAAGTGATTTTCTCGAAATAAAGAGCCCATGAACGATTTTGGGATTCCCATGACGCTTTTTCTTTTTTCTTTCATTTCATTTAATTAATTAATAAAGGGCAGTATTGTGATTGAATTGAATGCCCTTATTCAATGAAGAAAAAAAAAAAGAAGAAGAACATTGTAGGGACCAATGTGATATCATTTTTATTATTTTCAGCAATTTTCATTTATATATATTCAGCGAGAATTCCGGTGCCTATTGAATGTCATTGTTTCTATAGAAATTACCATCGTAATTGAACAAAAAAGCATTGAACATTTCCAATCAAGATTCAAATCAAGCACCCGTTTTCAATTCCCCGGGGCACGATATAAACGTCCCAAATTTTGAGATGATATCAATGTGACTCAAATAGGCTTCTCTGGTCCCTATTTCTTCTCTCTTCTTCCTTATTGGAGTCGGCCGCAAAGAAAAAGTTATTGAATAACCACATCACGTGTATGAATAATAAAGTTAATTATCAGTCTACATGCTATTTTTTCCGCAATGGGCCGATCATGCAATTTAATCGAAAAAATTTCATTGGTCGACGAGGGGCGGAGCATTGTTTTAAGACACCAATGGTTTGCAGTTATAAGCAATACCGTAAAAATGTTTTCGCCCCAAGTGTAAACACATACGATGGTTGGGATTGGTCTCTCATCTCGTCTCGTCTCGTTTTTCGTCATTCGAGCTCGACGAGCCGCCACTTGTAAGAAACCGTATTTATCTCGGGTGTGGCTGCTTGATTGGTTTTCCACTCAAAATGACCAATTAAGGCATTTTTTAGTCGGACTTTTGAGACAGAAAATACCAAAGAGCGCTGTCTGCAAATAGGCATTCCATTCCTTAGGACGCTAATTTGTGATCACCTCACCATGTGAAATGTGTAAAGTGTCGTGCAGGAGTTGTAGTAGTAAACTGTCGCCTACATTGTATCATGTAATCCGTTCAGATTATGATGTATCAACAAAATTTTGGAACGGAAAAACATTCGTCACTCAGAGTGTTCCTTAAAATGGTTCATGCTTGATTATCATCATCATCATCATCTCATCATCAAACTAGCAATTCTAAGATTTATCGCCACAATTCATGCTTTTTATAGTTGATTACAAAAATTGTGCTATAATCTATTTTTGAATGTACATAACCTCGCTCGCACACCGCATCACCCCGGTCGGGCATAATCTCGATCGGTTTCCGTCAGAAATTGTTTGCTCTGAAGATTGGTGAGAATCGCGACGAAATAAACTGTTCTTTTGCTCGTCTTATTCAATGCGTCCTAGTGTTTAACAACAAAATTTTCAAAATTAATTTTTTTAATGGAACCCCAATTTTTTTCTTTTGTTCATTTTTAGTATGACGGCCCCCATTACTATAGGGAGTAACTCGAAAAAAAAATTTGTTTTTTTTTTCTTTTTTGTGTATTTGCTTGGTACAAATGTTTTTCAGCAAATATTACTGTTGTCAGAATGTTGTTTTTTAGGTTTTTTTTAGATGAAAAACAAATTTAGCAGTTCTGGAATATTGATAGTGACCGACACTGGGAGGGAATTAGTATTCGACAATAGCGATAAGAATTTCAAATCACACCTTTTACACTGCTCCATTTTCTCACATCATTGATAAAATGCGTCGGCACGTGAAAGCATTGGTGTTGGTGTTGGCTCTCGTTTCACAGAATTAGGGCTCAAACTCAATTTATATGTGTTGCATCGTGAATAGCCTACTTTTAGTGCAACGTCTTGAAAGGTATGAATATTGCATCCGAAGTTCCCCCCCCCGCCGAAATGAATCCAACTACAAGCACCGCTTTTAAATAATTCGTTTCTTTTTTTTTCTTTACAAAACAAGCATTTCTTAGATGTGTTTTGTCGCCATGACGTCAGAAAGCTTTCAAAAAAAAGTTTTTTTTTTTCGACCAGACTACCCGTCATCCAAACTTCTATGGGTCCTTTTGTTTATGATGCTAGACTAGATAATGCCATAGCATACGGAGCGGTACTGAAGAGGAAAATTCACAAATTTTTAAAACAATTGATTTTTAAAGATCGCATGGGCTAATCAAAAGACATGTCGCGTGAAAATAATACTACGAATTCTTCACTTTTCATCGTTCAATTTTATCGGCGAAGTTAGATTAGAGAAAGGGCCCGACTGACGTCTTAATTAGTTGTCGGCTCACTTTTCTCATCGTTCCCCTCTTTAAACAAAAAATGGATCTAATGCAACTCGATACCTTTCTCTCATGATGTCACTTGCCTCAAAAAAAAAAACACCAACTAGCCCCTATCCCCTATCGCGTGGGAAATCATTCAAGATTTCGCCCCGCGCGGATTTCAATTTCTCTTCCCGCCGGGTCAGACTCGATACAAAAATTTTCATGGTCATAAATATTATTATAATCACACGCATGAGGATCAATAAAAGTCGCAATATCACGAATATTTCGGCTACCGGTTTGAAATCCCTCCCACGCAAAACAGTGAATGGGGGCGGCGCTTCGGTCCACAAAATAGTATATGCACCCATGTTGGCGAGCGTGGAAAGGGGGGGGCTGGAGAGGCGGGGCGGATCATCTCGAAGGGTTGGCGGTCGAAAGATCAGACACATCTGTCCATCTCCCTCCCATCGTCTGCCTGTGCGAATGAAGAGACTAGCTCGCCCTCTCCACGTGCACTTATTAATAGTAACAAACGTTCTTTGAGTCGATATTTCCAGTAATAAGCTATTTCCTATTCATCGTCATTATCCATTTTATCCTCACCCTCATATGATTATGTCATGAAATTAAAAGAAGATAATCCGTTCGTTCCATGTCTTCGCGGAAATTCATCCTCAATCCATCCAGATTGCATTCGTCATTCTTCGTTCTTCTTGTTTTTTTTTCTTCCCTCCTATGACATCATATTATTTTTGTCTGAAACTAATTAAAAAGCACACTTTCGACGCGTTTAACTGTCTCGTTTCGATCAAAACGTATGAACATTTATAAGCTGGCCAACTTTTATAGATCCAAAAACGGTGTAATTGATTCTGTCAGTGCCTTGTTCTTTGAGTTAACCGCGAATTATGACCAGATGTTCAGCGCCACGAGAAATCCGCGTAAGGTGTGTATGAAATACGATATGGTGAAGTTTGAACAACACCCTATCTCTAAACATTGATTGAGCCATTCTTTGATTTGAATAATTGAGTTTCAGCGAAGAGACTGCTGAAAAGTGTGGAAATAATTGTGCGAAAAATTCGGCGCCAACCAACAATTCAGCCTCTTCGCTTGCCGCTTCTGTGGAACTCCTCAAAAATGCATCAAAGCCTATATGTTGCAAGTAAGGCTTCGCAATTAAACAATCAAGCTTATCAAGCATTTTCAGGAATGGCGAGGAGTGCAAGGTGGCTGGCAATTGCGTCTGCCGTCCGCCAATGCCGACGACGGAAGGGAAGGCAACGAGCTCCAAGGAAACCTATGATGTGTTCCTGGGCGGCTCTTGCGGTACAACCGTGTGGCGCCGTCAATCGGTCATACCGTTCTTGAAGAAGCGTGGCATCACTTATTACGATCCACAAAGAAGCTTCTGGAGCGAGAATATGATCTATGAAGAAAGCATTGCTAAAGAAGTAATGATTGATTGATCAATGATAAAATTTTAAACGGGTTTTGTTTCAGAGTTCATCCCTATTCCTATTCGTTATTGATCCGGCGACAGTGAATGCCACATCCTTCCTGGAAATCGCCTATTTCGCGGCTCGCAAATCGCCGAAACTTGTTGTTGTTTTCTTAGGCAAGACTGAGTGGGCCGAGAAGGCGCATCCGGACGATCTGCCAGATCGTAATCGGACATGCCAGCTGCTTGATCGCATTCTTGAAGCTCATCGAGTTCCAATGCTTCACACAATTTCGGATGCGTTGGAATTCATCGAAGAGGAGATGCTCGGCAAGCAAAGCTTGCGTAGTGTGCTCACCTCGCGAAAGAATCGCCTCCCATATTTCCGTATTCGTTCAAGAAGATTTTTGCGCAACGTCAAATATCACGGAGAGCTCGTCGCAAAGACGATCAAGGCGTATGCAACGAAAACCGCGATAACCTGCGCGTTCGATTTGTTCATCGTCGGAGCATTTTTCCTATTGGCGCCGGCTGTCCCGCTTTTCTATATTGTGGCGATGCTTCTCATTCTCAACGCGTTGGCGTTCGTCGCGATTGGTCGCGTTCAACAACTTCGCCGACGATATCCGCGAATTGTCGGCGACTCATCGGCTGTCATTTACAACGCGACACCCGCAATTCCGTCGCCACGGATGACAACCACCACGACCTCGGTGAATGGAACCATTAAAGTGTCGTCGGTGCGACGACGCTCAAAACAAACGTTCGAGGAACTAATTGCCGAGGACGGTTCGTCTGCGTTCATTATTCTGCCGTCATTTGCAAAGAAAACGTGAGAGTGACGCTTTTTTGATTACAATAGTCAACGATTACTATTATAGGGAGCCGAAACTCAAAATTGATTGCTCTGTCATTGAATTATGCTCAAGTGCACTAGATGATAACAAATGGGTTCAAGAGCTCGCTGCACCTGCCTTAGAGTATTGAATTACCAAAGAATAATTCAAAATTGTTCACTGATATTTTTTTTTGCAGTGGCAAAGGAGTCCCGTATTCGTGCGCGCTCGCAATGCCGAAATTCGAAATCGACACTCGTATGAATTGTTTGCAAACTTGGCTTCACCACCACAAAAAATTCTTCTATTACATTCCGACAACGCAAACATTCCTTTCCGGAATGGTCGAGGTAATTTTTATGTCGCCTCGCATCATTAAAATTGAAAGAATCACAAGCATCTTATCAGCAGTTTTCGCACGATGCTGATTAGCTTTCAGTGGTCCATGAGCGAAGATCTATTACAGAAAACACAATAGTTCGGTTGCAATGAAAATGGCAACAGATAATCATAAATGCATTATTAATCCGATCGGATTAACTAAATGTTTGAATGCACTTTTATGAAAACATGTTCAGATCGCTTACATTCTCGGCCACACGAACTGGGAAGGCACTGTGTGTGTGCCGCCAACATCGCAATTCTTGGAGGGACCCGACGACTATAATCAAGAGGAGAAGGAGCAAACTAGGGCAGCACGTAGACGACGCAACGACTGCTACCAGATTGCTTTCTGCTATCTCAAGGTGAGCAGAGTGACCATTCCACGAGTCGCTTGGCTTTTTCTTCGATAGCTTACAGCACAATTTCATTTTCAGGATATGGCCAAACGTCGTCAATGCCGTGTGTTCACCGACATCAACACCGCCATCAAAGCTCTTGTTGATCCGGCAATGCGCGGCGTCTAAACCATCGTTTCTTTCAATATCGATTCTTCCAATTTATCAACAAAACAAGATGTGCAATAACCAGAATTACCATACAATTTTACGGTTACCCACGAAACGTTCACATATTATGATGTATGGTCCCCCGCAAATTTCCTTCAACTATTTATTCAACAATTCTCAGGAATTATGTATCACCTTTCTTCTTGTATCAAACCGTCTTGATTCGTAATTTCAACATGTTCAACGAACACATGCTCATTGACTGTAATCTAGTATGATGTGAAGATAGTCGCAAAACTATTCGACCTGTTCAAGTGGTCACCTAGACTGAAACTAGTATTATTATTTTTTTTAATTGATTAGCTTTTCGAATCACATCGTGTCTTTAAGCTCATAACATATTGTACATACCAGTTATCTATATTATTTGATCTTGTACTCGATAATGTACCACCTGATTTTAAATGACTGGTACACTCAACATTATTTCATTTTTTTTCGATTCAATTAAAAACAAAAAGCATATGTATGTTTGTTCCAGCTTTACAGTGTTCTCTCTCTCAATTATTTGTTTGTTATGCATAACAGCAGCAGCACTCAATAAAAATTACAGTATTTATTTTTATTTTCTATTTTGGTTGAATGTGAGAAAATTGGGTGGGGGGGAGCGAACAAGAAAAACGATACCGGTCAAATAATACATAAAGAAACAATGATGAAAAAAATTTGGCGAGAAAACTTTAGTGAGACACATGGCATTTCTTTTAAAAAATTAGTTCAGAAAGGGAAAGGATCGACATTAGGAGAATCGGGGTCAGGAGACCGATCGCGTTTGTTGAGGTCGTCACCAATGGCTCGTCGCACGTCAATTTGTCGATGGGAACATCGAGGATCTTTGTGCCAACCAGGATTTTGGGGCTCGCCCGATCACAGAACATGTTGGATTTGTCGCGAAGCTGCAAATGGCAACATAGAGCCAGCTCATGGTAATAATTTTCCCATGACTATTGTTTACCCGAGGTGTGCCTATTTTTAGATAATGACATCACCCCCCCCCCCAAATTCTATTATTATTACATACATAAAAATTTTTGAAAAGAATACCAAATAAAAGGTATTGTGCGTTCAATTTTTTTTTTGAATTTGTTAAGCTTCCGGGGACCGGATTAAATTCGAAAAAAGATTAAATGTTAAAAATTGACTAATTCCAAACTCGTCGATGAACGGCGATCGTTTTGAAAAATGATGTCATTCAGGAGGCAATTTTCAAACGGGTTCTCTAATTTAATACCGATTTCGTCGATCGAATCCATACGATAAAATCCTTGCTGTTGCAGTCGCAATAGAATTGATTCTTTAGAATAAACGTGTGCGGTTTGCCTTTGTCGGCAAGCATTTGGAAACTCTTCGGTATCGTGTTGAATTGATTTCTGAAAACCGGAAAATTCACTTTTCATCCGCCAGAATTCCGAAAAGAGTCTATTCAATTTTATCGCGCGATCCGGCGAAATTGGGAAACGATTGACCTTAATGCTTCAAGAAATGAGTGACAATCCGACTCTTGACATTATTTTTGGACTTGTTTCATTTTCGGTGCTGTCAACAGCAGTCCAAAAGTTTAGCGTTTTCTCGATAACGATCCTTCCGTTTTACTGGCTTTTTGCACGATTAGAACAGAAGTCACAATAACGGGGGGCATTCCGAGTACCAATGGTACCAAAGCATTAGCATTATCAGCAAAAATTCAAACAATTTTCCATTTCGGCTAGTCGTTTTAAAGGCCACGCTGATAATGAAACATTTCAAACTACATTCATTGCTATGTTTAGCGGCGATTGAATTCGATTTGAAACAACTACTGGCATAAAGTTGGTTTTGTCTCAGCGAAATGAGATTTTCCTAACCGAGGGCAGTGTAATTCAATTCACTCACCGTGCCAAGTTTATTGTATTCACTTCCTTTATGCAGCTCGCATTAACGACAAAGTTTTTCAAGAAGTTTTGTCGTAAATCGAGGGTTTGAAGCGACGGAAACGGACACGGCAATTCATAAGGCACATTGTGAATGAAATTATAGGAGAGGTCGAGAATCTGAAACAGACTGTTATTATAATTACTGAGTACACCACTCAGACCAATCCGATCAAAATTGTTTAAGACGATTAGAGATATCTCGCACCCATTTAGGACGCGACTTATCAACGAATTACGTAACTTGAACTGAACATATGGTTCGAGATTGTCATCAAGTTCTCACAGTATTGCACAATCGACCAAAAAACTCGTCAATGAGAAAAGAAAAGTGTGAGTGCAAATGACATAATGCACATTAACATCTGCTGACTTTCGAAGAACGGGCCGATCATTAGGATAAGAGATATTAGAGATATTCGATACTTCAAAAAAAAGTTGGCGATAATGAGAAAAAGATGTGATATTTCGTGCATTGTTCACCCATCTCTTCAACCTCCCAAATTTTAACTTCTGCTATTTGGACATAGCAAATTCGAATGTTGTTCTCAACGCCTTAAAAACTTGATTAATCGTAATGTTGGTTTTTTTTTTCAATTACGACAAAATCGAATTATTCTGCCTAATAAAAATTATTCATCTTTTTCACGTTTTATTTTCATTCAAATTGACCAACACACATTTTTTTTACCTGAAGATACTCTAATTTAGCCAATCGGAACATCTCAAGCATTAATTCGAATTGCTGGGTGCGGTTGATTGTGACGGTAAACGCCCTCCTCATGTAGAGCTAAAACAAGATGGAATTTAATTAATTTCGCCTAGTGTGTGATTATTGAGGCGCTTGCCTGTGTTAAATGAGGGGTGTGCGTCAGAAAATCGACATCCCTTGGACGGAACACTATTTCGTTGTTGGAAATGTCGAGCACTTGAAGGTTCGGCATATGTTTCATTGCATTTCCATTGAGGTTGACTACAATAATAAAAGCGAATATCAGAAAAAAAAGATTTTGGAAATTAAAATTTCAGCATCTACGTGAATACTCAAAATGATGAACAAATAGTATGAGTGCTAAAAAGTGTACCCAAAAACCGAAAAAATAATTTTTTTTTCTTATTAGAATATTGAAATTTTTTTGTTTAAATGATGGATTTCGCATATATTCTAATCTTTCAAAAATAATAGATTTGATTGATGGTTTCTTACAAATTTAGAATTATGAAGAAAAAAATGATTAAGTAATTGCTATTTGGAAAATTAGCTAGAATAATTTTTTTTCCGAAAAAAAAGTTCCATGAACATTCTTACCAATGTAATTTGCCGATAAATTCAGTTTCAACAAGCTATCTTGCGAGCTCGCTCCAAAAAATGGCGTCTTTGGCAAATCTTGGAAATTGTTTCCATGGAATGTGACACTTTTGAGATTTCTGCAATTGTGAAAACCCATTCGAATTCAATTCTTATTTCTCATTACCTATAATTATTGGCAATTTCCAAGAATACGTTTGTATCGACGAATTGCGCGTTGATGCATGAAAACTCGCCGACAGATGGATCACATTGACACGCTGCATATTCACCAAGCTTGCCAGTGCATTGAAGCTTCAAGTCGAGTGCATCCTACAACAGCAGCAACAAAAAAACAATGAAACCCTCTTCAGAAAATGCGATAAATATTGAAAAAAAAAATGAACCTCGCGATAAGAGATCTCGTGTTGACGCGATTTCGAGGCATCGAGCCGGACCACCCACACTGTTGTTAACAACAACAGGTAGGTGGTGAAGCGACTTCTCACGCTGGATGGAATATTGTAACTCTGAAAATAAAAAGACGCATACTACTACAAACGAAATGCGAAATGAAAACAAAGAGTCGGTAAATGAAATGAAAAGCAGGTGCAATTGTTATGTTTCAACAAAGATCAAATCCCAATGTCAAGTGATATGCTCAGCTCGCCTCAAAATCAATCAATTATTATGGATTACAAATCGCGAATGTGTCAAATCTTGCTGTTGAAACGAGAAATTGAAGAATGTAAAATGTAGTTCTATAAATTATTTACCAGAATGCTCTCAATTGGCCCCCGCAGGCACGTAATTAAAAGAGAGCTTATATCGAAATGACCACACGTCTAGTTAATCCCCTCACCCAAATTATTTGTGGAAGTATTGCAAATGTGTGATACGAGGAAATCGGAAAATTTCTCACGGTTGAGACTAAGCGACTTGTACGTAATTATTAGTCACGGACCCATTTACTTGCCAGGGGAAAATCTGAGCGATAGGATTGGTGTTGTTGGTTATCACAAGACACAATCACATGTACCACAAATGTAGAATCGATGCGACGCAGCTTAATGGACCTTGGGAGGCGAAAAATGCAAAGGGGGGGGAAGAAGGTTTCGTGGTTGTGGCCGACGAGATAGCATGTCACAGCAATAGTGAGCTCCCAATAGAAGCTGGAGCAGCGGGACGCACGGCGTCATCGATGCAAAACACACTCTTCTCCCTCCCTTCGCCTCCTGTCGCCAAAAAGACCCGTCCCTCAACATTCGACACCACCCACCACCCTATAATAGACTCCTCAAGCAATGTCTTGCGGCCATTTGTCGGAATCTTTGAAACAATTATGGGGTGTATATTAATAGGCCCGCCGGGGGGTTCCCCCATCGCCGCCACAAAGAGCACATAATGCGGTCAACAATGGCAAAGTGAAAATGGGAAATTTTGTGTTTGAAAGCGCCGCTGACAGATTTTATTAGTATCTACTTTTCAACGCCTAGTTGTGCAAAGGAAATAGAATTCGAAAGGAAATGCGAGATCTCAAAATAGGGGACTGAGTTCTGAAATTTATAAGAAAAGGTGATGCTGGAAATTAAATTAAAAGTTATAATAGGAAAGGGAATCTTTAGTTTTGTATAAATTATTTCCATAGCCAACCAGGAATGCCATTTTCACGCTAGTATAGTTGTTTTTTTTATATTTGTGGAGACACGAGTTTGACTATTTACATATTTTGAGAATTTTACATATTGTAGGAAGAGTGAAATGTGTACAATATTGCTTTTGTTGTATCGATGCTCAAAAAAAAAATTTTGAATTGTGAAATTTTATTTCAGTAAATCTAACAGTTTGGAAAAATAAATGTGCTTTAATAGAATTTTCAATAGTTAGAAGTTTAACTCAAAGATTACATAATTTTCTAAATTCGCCAAATGCATTTTTTAAAATAAAACTTTGCTTTATTGCTTTATCCAAACCCGTTCAAGGACACTAGACAAAACTTGAACCTTATGAACTCGTGCCAAATTGTTCCTGAAGACTAATCCGCTTCAATCCTTTAATTTAGAGTTTAGACGGATTATGAATATAATTGAATAATTGAATGTTAAGAACCCCAAATCCGTCGATTGTTTCAAGAAATGTGCTATTTTTGAATTCCTCAATTCCCTCATTTGGAAATCATGAAGTGGGAAATGAAATAGAAGAACGCGATGTCACATCTAGTGAGTTAATTAGAAGTCTTATATATTCTTAGCCGAATCGACACAACGCAGTGCAAAATGATGAGTAGCGGCTGAGATGAAGATGAAGATGATGCTCAAAGGATGATGAAACGAGCTCATAAATTTTGAAGGACGATGAGATAAAATGGGGATAGTTAAAAAGCGAAAGAAACCGAATAATGGACGACCCTCAGATTTTTCAATAGTGTAATCAATACGTGACCTTGATCACAAACTGTGCGATGTCTGTCATTTATCGCCAGTTAATTTTTATTTTTGAGAAACAAGTAATAAGAAGAAAATAAAACAAATTTTATCCAAATGGCTTTGAAAGTAAACATACAGTGTAGAAAGTTATCCCTGAACACTCAAACTTGAGTACTACGAATTTCACAGGCTCCAAGTGGCCATTGAGAAATTTTTTTTCTCATTTTTGGTCTCAACGAGAGGGTCAGAAATTATAAACATTGTCCTGCTCATAAGGGTTGAAATATCGCATTTTCAGCTTTTTTCCTTTTTTGTACAGGGAACAAACATTTTGGCCCTTTCTTAAAATGTACCTCCAAAAACGAAACTTAGAAATATATTCATATTAAGTGTTCGAATATTTCATATTTATACTGAATAAAGGACATCAAACTATTGGCGTAAAACATTTCATTGGGCTCAGCAAATGAGCCGTGCAGACAAATAAGGAATCGTTTGGAAGGAAAACGTATGTATTTCAAGCTTCATTAACCTCGATTGTTTGATTTAAAAACTAAAAGACTAGGAAAAATGAAATAAGAGGATGAAGATATTACGGTATAATATTATCCCTTATGAAAAAATTGTAACCCATTTTCATTTTTTACCGAATTGTGGTCAATCTAAACTATTATATAATCATATCAAATAGTATTACATCGAAAACATTTTCCGTATTCAATGAATTGATGGAAGCCAGGCAATTCATTGAAAACTAGATATTTTGATTTCTGGCTTCTTTTTTTTTGAGGTAAGAAAACGAGTTTAGAAACCCTATAATTTCGTATTTTTCCTCAATTCAGATGCGTTGTTTTCTGAATTCAAAGACATACCATAATAATGTCGCTTCTCGTTTTTTTTCTGTTTTCTTCTTTAGGGTCGTTCTGAAAAAAATTGTATAAACTCGGTTCTTGTGGAGAGCACCTGAATGAATAAACACGACAAACAACAACAAGACGGAAAAAAATTTTTCTCAATGAATGATTCGAGCGGGTTTTTTGCGTTGTCTTTAGACACATTAAAGTAATGGAATACCCGTGATTTTGTTCTAATGGCCGACAGAAAATAATGCGTTGGTGAATTTCAAATGATGGCGGAGCCAAGAAAAATAAAACAAACAAGTCGAATGAGCAAAAAAAATGGAATGCTCCGGGAAGTAATTTTCGTCTTCTTCTGTTATAGTGAATGTTTGCGATTAACATGCACTAGGAACGAGTGCTTTTATGCGTTGTAGTTGACAGCAATATAGGGAATTAAAGAGCATTTAAGGAATATTGAGCAGCTCCCTCTTTTTTTTTTTGCAGGCTGATGAGAATTTGTATAGCCAATTTAGGAGAAAGGTTGAGGTATGCGAAAACGGATATGAGGATTGGAGGAATGGTTGTAAAGATTTATCAACAATATATTGTGGGTAATAAAGTTTGAATCTCAATCAATATTATGTATTTAGAATAGAAATACACATATTTCTGTCTATTCAAAGAAATAAGTGCACATAAAAAAAGATAGAATTACAATTTTAATGATAAAAATCATAATGTGTTCTTGATTTATTGTGCCACGTTGGAAATTAAGTTTTAAGATTTAAATTACGATTTTAAAAAATGCGAATAAAAAAGCCATTTTTACTTCTTGATTGCTCATTTGAAATGCTAAAACTTTCAAATTAATTAGGAGATCGTAATCTATTTTTCCCCTGCTCTTTTTTTTTTGCAAATTCTTATAACAATTGTTATGTTGGTTAAAAACAACAAATTCTAGATTCGAAAAATTACAGTAGTAGTATTTTGAAGTGAAATTGAATAGAAGGCGTTTGCATCATTTGTATGCTATTGTCAGTTCGCAAAGAAAGACATACATCCATATAAAAATGGAAGGAATTCTGAACTAAAACCGAATTACATATAATGCGTTGGCTGGAATGGAATTTGGTTGAGTTAAACAGAAAAAACACAGTGCAAAGAGTTCACACGATATCAGCGCCAGCAGAAGAATGAATGGAAATGTTGGGCGGAGAATTATTCAAGCACTACTGAAGATGTTTTATGACTATACATGTTGAAATAAATTTCGGACACATAAGAAATACGTCGTTCAAATGAGAATGCTTACCCCGAAATCTTTATTACGTAAATTATGCGTTGCATAGATAACCATTAAATGTTTCAAAACATGCGCGTGCATCTTCATTTTCTTAATAATTTTGCAAAGCTTGTTTATTAGAAAATTGTGATAGAATTCTAGAACATTCTTGAGCATTCAAAAAGGTTTGCTCATGAATTTTTTTTGCTTCAAAGTGTCAACCCTTTTTTCTTCGATAATTGGCAAAGAAAATTCATAATAAATGTATGACAATTTTTTTTTGGAAAATTTCTTGACGATTTCATAATTTCATGTGTTGATTTTTTTTGCTGTATGAAAATAAATATTGAGAGAAAATGTGATAAATTGAAATGCGCATTATTAAGAACAAAACATTATATGTTGAATATATGAGAAGGACAACGACACAAGGCGAAATTTGATTTGGCATTGCCGCACAAAATATGCAACGCGTGTAGTGTTCGGAGTAATGTAATGTCAAGCTCTTTTTTTGTGTTGAAAATAAACAGCGAAAGAGAAAAACGAGATGGAAAAAGTAGTTACCGTTGTTCGTTTTGCTCGAACAAAAAAAAACTAACAGTGAGTTGAAGGAAAATCATTCTTTTTTTTTCTAGCGGAATAATTCAACGTGGGAAAACCCCTCAAGTCATAAATCAGATGTGAGAATGATTTCACGTTCGTCGACGGCGACGAATGAAATATGAAATGTCTTGCGGAAAATGCGAAAAATGAAAATCTAACACGCATCTGCGGTTTTAATATTCCACGAATATATGCAAGAAATGGCACGAATTTTGAAATTTTCTGGAAATGATGTTGTGAGACTGTGAAGATCGATGAGGAAGTATTCAAAATATTCCAAGGCGTCCGATTGGTTTTTCAAATAATCATCCGTAGCCTACATTCAATTCTCCATGGATCAATTAAGTATCTTGACTTGAAAATATCATGGCTCTGGACTTTTTTCCATAGTCATTTCTAAAAACGCGTTGGATATTCTAAAGGGTATGCAAAATGATGAACAATATTACCCGCTGACTGAAGATCATAAAATGGTTTTGAATGTGAAAAATAATGCGATATTCACCCATTTTGTGTAATTTAGCCTTCATTCATCCAGATATCGTTGGGTATTCAAAAAGTAGATATTTCAAGGCCTCACTTCATTTTTGAACTAATTTTAAGAAGAGATTTTATTGATTGATTTTATTGTTAAACAAAATTCTTGAAAATCACCTCACACTATTGTGAAACTAATTTTTTAATGGAAGAATAACTTCAGAAATGTCTTTTTTTTTAATCTTTAACACATTAAAATTTAAATTAATTTATAAAATTGATACTCAAGGTAGAAGCCAGGACCTATGAATATGTTTTAAACAATGGTAGATTTATAAAACTGTCAGCTGAAAATTTTTAAAAACCAACACATCGTTCTAAAAATGTACTGAAAATGCATAATACAACCTAGTTAATAATATGCGCATGATATACTTCAATACGGATGGAATAAGTTTTGAAGTGGCGACGGCTGCTTGCGAATTCGAGTAAACTCGGGCGTTTTAATTTATTCCGTCAAAGATGAAAGGTTGAATGTTCGCATAAATTATTTTGAGTATTCAATTTCCACCCGCCGTAATTAAACTTGTTTTCTCCATCTGTCAAAAGAAGCGAAGGCGAGAAAAAAAAAGAATAACAAGAGTAGACAGAAAGAAAAAAGATTTGTTAGTAGCGCGAAAAAAAAACGCAATTCTCAAGCCAAAAAAAAGAAGAAATAGATAGGCTGCTAGTTGCAAGATTGCCATGGGACCACAAAACGAATGAAAAATTGGCCGCAATCGAAAGCTCCTTGAATTGATGCATTTTACATGGTCCCCATCCGCCATTTTTTCCCTTTGAAACATTTAACAAGAGAAGTGTGACAATCACAAATGAATATGTTGCCTTTTTCGCAAAAAAAAACGGCAAGAATGACTATTGGATATTTTTGGAGGAAGATAATCGCAAAAAAATTCTCAATTTACAAACCTCATCTTTTTTGAGAATTTCCTTTCAAAATTAACTAGCAGACATGTTTTGCGACAATAAAATGTTGCA